TTTGACATGAACTCCTTGAAGTCACGTCATCATTCTTGTAGTTTTACATTTTTCTTTTCTCTGAAAAAATAGGACCACATTCTCATGAGATGATGACTTTATTCTTGTGATATTATGTTTATAAAGATTTTTCAATACGTTTTGACCGTAATTTGACATCGTACAAAATTATTGAAAACCCCGGTGTGATTTTAGACAACTACAATTAGTGCCATGTCACGAAATGTTAAATGGCTAGTCACAGTCGTTTGAAGATATTCGAAACATAACATACTCAAGTACATTCTGTATAAGATGATCTGCCTAAAACCTTCTCAGTTGAGCAGATAAAAAAAATGAAAAAATCTTTATCATGCTGCAAATTTGAAAAGCTTTTCAATAAACATGCTTGGAGACATTTGAATCAAGTTAAGTGTTGGAGTTTGCATTTTTCAAAAATTTTACGTCAATGTTGTCCCTTTTACTGCAAATGAATATCGGTTATCAGGCTCCTTGACTACTCATATCCGCCCTGAACAAAAACATATCGCTCTATCTGTTTTTTTGTTCGCTCACACTTTCTGTGAAGAAACTGGGACCATGGTATGGTCAAAATATTTGTCTCTTTCAGTACTCTTGAGTTTATTCTACTTCTTGCCTCTCTTAATAGCTTCATGAAAGGAAATGTTAAGTTCGTTAGCTGAATTCAAATACATGACAAGAGGAAAAAAATGATGAAAAAAACGTCTCAAGTTCTGAGGTTCCAAAATGGATGGCAGATATTGCAAATGTCGGCATACGGTAGCTTAGATTCCTGGAAAGTCAAAGTGTCTTATTTAGAAATGTACAGCCATTTTCTTTACGATTCTTAAAAAAAGGCTTTCGCACGGAAAAAGAAACGACACATGGTTATGAAGATGGTTTTAAACCAAACATTTTTGCTTTCGTCACCTCGTTTCAAATGAAGTTCTTCCCTCCATTGCCGATGAGCTTCCCCTTTTTCTTGAGTCTTCTCAGAAGGCAGGTGGCGATGCCTAAAGCGCCACCCTTTAAAAAGCGAACAAAGTTATCTCCCACCAGCGGGCCCATGGCAAACAGACCAGGCTCATTGGTACACTCAAAGGTGTACGGGTTAATGTCTATGGGGTTCTGCTTGCAGGAAATTGGCTTTGTGGGGTCTTGAGCCAGATACTGGCCGTGGCCTTTGAGGAAAAACAAATTGGGGTTGGTCCCGATCAGTACCAGGGCCATCGAGATCTTGAACGCCTTCAGGGCATTGTTTCCCTGCAGCAAGCACTTCATATCAGACTGTAAGGAAACCACGCAGTGGCCCGGGAAACTTGTGTAGTCGGCAATGTGGCTGACGCTCGCGTTACTGGCCATGCTAGCAGCCGCCAACTGTGGCCTGGGGCACATCTTGGCGCAAACGGAAGAAGCAATACTCATTGTCTGAGCCCTGCTTGAAGAAGATGAGGGAACCACATTTGTGTAGGTCTGAGAGCACATCATGTTGTAGACCTTGTGGTACTCTGGGTACAAGGTCTTTGGCAACTGTTTGAAGATGAGGTCGGCGTCATCGACGCTCTTTCGAAAGACATGCAGCACTCTGACGTTGCAGCTGCAAGCGCACAGAACCGCGTCTGCGGCACTTAAGCCGGCCCCGACTATTAAGATTGGATCTGAGTTTCTATCAAGCTTTTGGAGGCTAATAGCCAAGCCCAGGTCAGCGATGGTGTGGTACACGAAGGGTAGGTCCTCTCCCTCCACGCTTAATCGAACCGGCGAATCGGAGGCACCAGTGGCCAGGACCACATTCTCCGCAAACAGAGAGAAGGGAACATGAGTTTTGTTCTGCAGCTGTTGGTATCCCCTGACTTCCCAGAGAGGGCCCAGTCCTCCCTCGCTGATGCTTTCTACTCCATTACCCTCAAAGCTCTCATCTCCGCAATCATCCACTCTTTCGTCTCCGAGACGAGTGTGTCCATTTTTCAGATATTCCGTCTTGTGGCCCCGGCAGAGTCTTTGGACCGAGGTCACGTAGGTGTTGTCGACAAAATTCTTTTGGAGGCCTTTTAGCTTCACATAGTTGCGGTAATAGGATGAGATCTCCTCAGGCGTGGCTCTGTCATTGGTGACATCCCTTGGAAGAAGAAAATGTCAATGAGCAAAGGCGGCAGAAAACAAAAGTTGATGGAGGTTCTCTCAGTACCTTCGTTTTACGCCGATCAGGTCCCTGTAGTTGACTCCGGGAAGCTCCATCCAGATGCCAAGACTTATAGTCAGCATGGAGCCTTCCATTGCCTGAAAAGGAAAAAGGGGATGACTCGTCAAAAAATAAGAGAAAACCCCAAAGTGCAAACTAAAGTACCGTATTGGCCCGAAATAAGACGGTGTTTTTTTGCATTGAAATAAGACTGAAAAAATGGGGGTCGTCTTATATTCGGGGTCTAGACTTTATACCCATTCACGACACTAGATGGCGCCAGATATCATTGAAGCGAATGCTGAACTTGACTCCCCAGGCCAAAGTGAACCCCTGTCACGAAGAATAAAAATTAAAATAGCGGGAGCATGAAGAAGAAAAATAAAAAATAGCGGTAAGAAAGAAAAGAGAAGAAAATAATAGAAGAGATAACAGAAAATGGAGAAATGTAGCGACAATCTGGAGAAAAGTCGGTCGAAGATCGACCAGGTTAACCGGCAGCTGAGGAGAAGTTATGACATAATTTACATTTCCAAAACCAGAAGCCATTCATTTACGAATGTGATTGCACTTTAGTTTACATATTTAGATGTTCAGATATTAAGATTTGAATGAGGCAAATAACATGCTTTTTCTCTCACATATATTGTTATAATCATTTGTTTCAGATGTACTGTAATTATTTTCTGTATAAAAATTAATTTGGTGTTCCAAAAAGTCTTTTTTCAAACTTGAGTTTTGAAAAAGAGGGGGTCGTCCTATAATCAGGGCCGTCTTATATTCGGGCCAATACGGTATGATCGAACTCACGTGCCAGGCTCCCCCAGGTGTTGCTCTCCCTAGGACGAGATGTGGGATGTGTTGCTGTTTCTCCCTCCTCCACTGAAGCACAGGAGGGTACTCATAGCCGTAGTCGGCGTTTGGGTGCAGCAGTGTGTCAAATAGCACAGCCACGGGGTTCCTTGACCGTCCCTCAAGACCTTCGCTTAAGTGTTCGAGATCCTGCAGACAAAAAGCAGCTGGATTTGATGGGAATTGGTTGTGAGCAAACATTCTCGGACCCTGTGCATTATTTTAAGTCTGCTATACTTTTACTCGATCCTTAGATCATATACAGGAGTGATTACCAATAAGTCATCTTCACAAAACAGAACACCACATACACACAACGGGAGAGTTTCGGTGAGGAGGGGCGTTTCGTGTCTAATATACAGTGGTAACTTCATTTAAGAGTTTAATTTGTTCTATCATTGAGCTTGTAACTCGATTTAGTTTTTTGTAAAAATGTGATTTTTGGCTCAGGAGGACGCCAGAGTACCTGGAGAAAACCCGCACTATCACAAGGAAGACATGAAAACTCCACAAGAAATAGTCTGAACCGCGATTCAAACGCGTAACCCAGCGTGATAATTTTTTTTGCCGAAGAACATTTCTTGTGTTCTCCGTTTTTACCTGTTCAGTGACGGCAAGGTGTTTGGTCTCCTGCAGTTTTCTGTAGAGTATCGGGTTTGGGTGGACCGTTGTTGGGTCGAAGTAAGGCTTGTTGCCACTTAGCAGATACGAAAGACAAATACCTGATGGTCCGTTGCCTGAACAGAAAAAGAGGAGCGACGATGGAATTAGCGCATCACGGAACAATCTCAATGACTCAAATGATGACCATGTCTGCTGAACGCTAGGTGAGGTTCGTGGCAAGTGGATTACCTATGATGATGACAGGAACAATGGGTGGGTGTTCTTGTGGGTGAGTGGTTTCTTCTAGAAGAGGCATGACGGGAGCCTGAGCCACAGCTGGCACTGTGGAGGAACACAAAAGTTGCGGACGTTTCCAATATTCTATTAATTGCAGAGCCTCGTTGGTGCTTGTGGGTTTTTTTTTTTTGTTTGTTTTTTTGTCAGGGCTTGATCAGTTGAACAGCTTTAAACTGTCCAGCTGTCATTGTTTGCGCACGGCCATATTGTCGTTGTCATCTCATGATCTAACCCCCCTTTATATGGAAGCACCCTGTCACAAGATAAAATGCCATCCCTTTTTTTCCCTTCCTGCCAGAGTGTGCCCACACCCCCTGGCCCATCCTATCAAACACCGCCTGAGGCCAGGCTTCCATCTCTTTAACCCTAGTGATGCTTCCCAAACAAAAGCCAGTTCTAATCAGATTTATATAGGCTGGGCCCTGTTATGAAACATTACTATTGTGTGTCGTGCATGTTTGTGTGTTACACGACGATGCCATTGTGTGCCCACCGGGCAGCAAATCCCCTCTGATCACTCCTCCCCAGCGGGCTCTAATCTCACTGTGTTTGTTTATGTCTTTACCGCCCTCTAACACAACAGCAGAAGTCTTAATAATGTAGTTCTAGCGCTCTGGCAGAGCCAGCCATCAAAGTTCCTTCCTCTTAGAGAAGCTTCTGCCATAACACACTCATGATTTGCTCCCAATGCTACCCCCTGAAAATCATGCCAGCTAAAGTACAACAGTGTCCCTTTGGCCTTGTTTCTTCCTAAAACCCCGAGGAACCTCAATTGAGGGAAGTCCATTCATGTATTAGGGTTAGTTTGAATCGGTTAGTACAGGGGTCCCCAACCGCCGGTCCGCGGACCGGTACCGGTCCGCCGGGCATTTGGTACCGGGCCGCACAGAAAGAACTTGCCTTAATTCCGTTTTATTTATTTCGGAATACGAAAGATGTTTTATTTTGAAAA